CTAGATGCGGCGGTAGGATACACCCGAAAATGGAGACTGTCGGCGAACGTAGGAAAATGCGCAGTAGTGGTCTGTGACGAAGATAAGAAAAATCCCGTAGAATTCAAATGGAAATGGGGGGAGGAAGAACTACCGGTTGTAGACAAGTATACGTACCTGGGAGTAGATTTCGAAGGAGTGCTCATGGGACGCACACATAGCGAAGTTGATTGGGAAGAGTAAAGCTCAGATAGGCAAGATGGACGAGATCCTTACGGACCCACACCTAGACACTAGGATTAAGAGGTGTATTCTCTTGAAGGTGATTGTACCTAAGCTAGAGTATGCAGGAGAGATATGGGAAGGTAACGAAAAGGCCGTCAAGCAGCTGGAAACGGTGCAGATGGCAGCGGCCAAGAAAATACTAGGATGTTCAAGTACAACGAGCAACACTGTATTGAGAGCAGAATTGGGAATGTACTCTCTTAAAACAAAGAGAGACATGCAGAAGTTGAAGTGGCAGTACAAGGTAAGTAGAATGTCGGACGATAGACTACCAGCCATGGTTGACAAGGCAGCTTGGGGAAAAGCGACTCCAGGGAAGAAGGGAATCAGATGGGACAAGGTGGTAGAGAAGGTTTGGAAGGAGATAGGAGACGAGGAGGAGACGTTGGACACGGAAGGGTTCGGGGGGTTCAAGACGAAAGTCAAGGAGATGCTAGAGAGTAGGGAGGAGGCAACCCTTCGGAAGAAGGTACGAAGCGAAGACCACTTGGAGATATACGGGAAGTTGAAAGAAGGGATAGGGATGAAGAAGTACTTGGACGGCCCCATGGACTATGCGAAAAAGCTGAAATTGCAATTTCGAGTAGGCGATCTGGACTTGCCAGAACGGAGGAAGAGGTATACCAGCCGTGGGAGAGAGGAAGAGGAGGATAGACACACATGTCCATGTGGCAAATCGGAGGAGAGTAGACCCCACATAGTTGGGGAGTGTGAGTTGTACAGGAAGGAAAGAGAGGATCTGGAGGAGGAAATGAGACAGAGAGGGTGTGACATGGACAAGTTTGGTAAATTAGACAACAGCGAAAAAACGATCGCGATAATTGGGGATAGATGGTGGGCACAAGAGGCCCTAGAGGACGGGGATAAGATGTGCAAGAAATTTTTATGGAGTTTGTGGCAGAAACGTAAAGAGCTCCCAAATGTTGGTGGTGTCTCTAGTAGGTGTAGGAACGGTGCTCCGTCTCGAAAGGGACGCGTGGTCAATGGTCAAATGACTACGGCAAGCAACAAATGAGTACGCCCCCCCCCAATGCTCCGTCCTCTCGAGGATGCGTGGTCAATGGTCTAACAGCTATGGCATGCAAAACATGAGTACCCCCCCACCACCACCACCGAACACTACAACGCCGCAGATCTTACTGAGACTTCAGCAAGTGTGCGAGGCCGAGCAGGTGAGCTACTCGCCCGACGGGCTGGAGGCAATCATATTCACCGCGGAGGGGGACATGCGGAACGCGCTCAACAACCTCCAGGCCACGCACTCGGGGTTCGGCCACGTCGACCAGGCCAACGTTTTTAAGGTAAGTTTTGTAAGTTGTATTTTGACTTGAAAATACCCGATTTTCGTTGTTATCAAGTCGTTGTTGTTTTCATAGTTGGATCAGAAAAGAGAGTGTGGTCGACATGTTACAAATATTCACGGTTCGTACCGTTTTTTTACACCACATGGTTTTACAAAGGCATTTCGCGAAACAATTGTACCAGCAAGAAAACAACGACAGCGAAAACAAACAACAATCGACGGCGAACATACGCCCACCCCCCCCACCCCCCCCCTACACCACGCACAGGTCTGCGACCAGCCCCACCCAGGGGTTGTGCTGGAGATCCTCAAGAGCTGTGTCGAAGGGGACTGCGCCAAGGCTAGCCGTCGCATGAAGGCGCTGTACGACACGGGGTACTCTTCGAACGACATAATCGGGACGGTCTTCAGGGTAAGTAAGGTCTGCTGCCGCTGCCGCTGCCGCTGCCGCTGCTGCCGTTGCTGCTGCTGCTGCTGCTGCTGCTGCTGCTGCTGCTGCTGCTGCTGCTGCTGCTTGCGCGTTGCATTGTCGTTTTGTCGGTGTCTTTTTTTCCAGGTAGTTTGATGCGTTCTCGGGGGGATGGCGTGGTTTCTTTTTTTGTTTTGTTCGGATTGTCGGGGTTTAGGTTATTGGTGGCACCATTTTTTTTGTCTAACTAGGAAGCGTATTTGTTAATAGTTCGAATAGTTGTTTGTGTTTGTGTATTTTCGCGTACACTCCTGCCGGTTCACTCTGTGTGTCTATTTTTTTATCTTGGTACGTAAGACACGGGGTAAAAACGATTCGCGGGACGTGGACGAGACGTGGTCATTGGCGATGTCTGCGAGGGTGGAGGAACGCAAAACGGGTTGCTGAGTGTGTCACGTCTATATTTTCGTGAGTGGCATGGCACTCTGTTTCGCCCCTACAACCTTGTTTGGTTTCGACCCTACGTGTAGCATTGACCTATGATAGCATTGACCGCTTTCTCCTGTACCCAGTGTTCCGTCCGTACATGCGCTCTACGGTAGCGCCGTGACAAACGCGGTGTTTTGTGATTTTCGCTTCGTGCGTACAATGGTATACCATTCCTTTTCATGGGACGGCTTGTCTCTAGTTCGTGCCGTGAGGGTTCCTCGTAACTACAGTATGTGGCGTATCACAGTCCCAAGGGTTGCCACTTGTGAGAGTGTCAGAATGGTGTGCGGTACGGGCTGTGAGACAAGGCGGGGCAGCCGGCCCCACTGTTCCTTGTACCCGGTATGAGCGTGCCCCACTGGCTCAAACCTGTGGTAACACCCCAAACGTATGTACCGCAGATCTCGGACAGGCCATCTGACGCACTGACATCACTATTCACATCTTCAGCCAAAACATATCCAACTCCGACGATGAGCGAGCGTGATTGATAGTTTTCGAAGCACGTCCTTGAACGGTGTGTGCGAATTTTGATTTTCCTCCCGTATGTGCGTGGCGGGGGGTGGTGGGACGTGACGCTCACTTCCCCGCTTTTTTTGTTCTTTTTTCGCCGATGCCTCGGCAGGTGTGCAAGAACCAGCTGGAAGTCAACGAGGGGGCGAAGTTAGAGATGATCAAAGAGGTGGGTGAGGTTTTGGTGTTGGAGTAGGCAGGTTATTCACCCCGCGGCGGCTCTACATTAGCCCGCGTGTTTTGCGCGGAAGAACCGAGAATTGGCATGACCTCCTGCAGACATCCATGTACAATAATATGCGTGTTTCTTTCGATGGTCTAGCACCCGTGTTCTTCACGTAGGCTATGCGTGGCGGGGAACTAGAATACTCTCAGCCTGTCTCCGGCAATCACGTTAGTTTTATTTTGCGGGCGATACCTACAAGCAACGAACCCCGATCTTTTGGTGTGCCTGCCTGCTCACGTGGAACTACCAACCATTATTTTTTATTTTGTTCACGTCAAATCAGCGCTCACAGCATCACAGACATCAATGCGATAGACTTGAGATTCGGCCGTTCATTCTGCCATATCTTTTATCCTTTTGTACCCCCTTGTTTATCCCTCTCTTTAGTTTTCATCCACGCTCAGCTGATCTGTGCGCACCCCCACAGTCGCGAAACTAGTGCTGTTCTTGATGTCCACCTGCCTTTGCCCTTTCCGTGTTTCCTGTTTGTTTCTTTCTCACGCGCAGGTCGGGTTCACCCACGTGAGAGTTGCGGACGGGGTGAACAGCCTGCTGCAGCTCATGGGCATGTGCGCGCGATTGTGCCGCGTGGCGCAGCAACAGTCCACCACCCTCCCTTCATAGTGTAGCCATTTCTTCACTTTTTTTTGTCAAAACCACTAGATATGTTCTTGGTGATGACATGATAGGATCTCCCATTGGGAAGTGTACAATAGTTACAACATGATTAGAGAGTTTTGTTCCCAAAGGTGGTGATATAGCCATGGTGGTAGCGGAATCGCGCCAGTGGAGACTGTCCTCGATGGCCAGCGGTGTTGCTGGCGGAAGGTGCAAGTGCTGTATCACGGCCGCGGGGTCAAGGGTCTGCCACAGAGCCACGCAGCTTCTGTATCTTTCTCCGACAGCTGCGCGAGCGTGTGTGCACAGGGCAGTAGCAACAACAAGCAGATCGTTGCAGGGCAAATAATAATTACACTCGCAACTGTCCGTGTGTTGAGAACGGAAAAAATGAGAGGAGGATTTCTCTACCATCGAGACAGACTGGTGCCAACCGCTGCTCCCTGCGCTCCCCGCACGGCGAGCCGTCAGGGTCAAGGCAAGGTACTACGCAGTTATAACGTTGTGTTGTTCTGCTATAGAGCCGAAAGGCGAGAGTACATGCCAATCGATATGCTCTCGTGTAGCGTGACTGAGAAAGCGTGCGGTTGAGCAAAAGGAGGCGATTTCGTTCAACTCCCCGGAGAACGTATGTAAGAAACGAGAACTCCGGTGTTTTTCCTTCGAAAAGAATAATTGTGGCGTTTTTCCTCCTTTCCTCCTGTGTGGCTCCGGCTGGTGCGTCAAGCATTCATACCGAACGGGGAAAACTGGCGCCCAGAGGCATGCATACACAACACAAACCACACCATTTTTTTTTTGTCATTCTGTACAAGCCTGTTTGCCCAACCACAAACACGTTGGAATATCAGCTGTGCACTGCTGTCTTCTGTACACTCCATCCCCAATTCTCGATCTTACCACCGTATACAGCTTTCACCCCCCCTCGTATTTACGCCATCCAAAACAGAGTTAACAATGTTAATTTTCGAATACGGTGCTGAGTGCACGCGCGGTTCTGCTGGTTCGTGTGCCGAAGACACTTCGTACCACACAGGAGGTCTCGTACCCATCGTCTGTGTTAATCTACCGTGTCAACCTTTTGCCCAGGAACACACTGCCGAATTGGTCTGGTACATACGAGGGGCAACAAGAAATTGTCCATACAAACGAAAGAGAGGCCTTTTGCCAGAACTCGGCTAGACAACATGCGGTTGTCCCGCAGAAGCCGGAACCGGCGTGCCTGCATCCCCGTTACCACCGCTGCTGCCGTGCAGGGTAACCGCTTGAGCCGGCACGAGATTGGCAATTACAGCCTTGCTGCCTCCAGCGGCAGCAGCCTCGGCAGCCGCGTTGCTGCTGAGCTTGTTGATGTAGTCGATTATCCCTGCCTGCTGGCCCAGCTCCTTGGACTTGTTCGCCAACTCCACGTCCTACGAAAAAAAACAAGAAGCAGGAAGAAACGTGTTCCGAAAACGCGTTTCCTCTCTGTATAGCACTGCCGTACACAATTCAAGCAGACGTACCGTTGCTGCTGGCGCTCTTTGTCCAACGCCTCAACAACCAACACCCATCATGAGGAGACGAGGGTGAACGTACATTATTTGAAACAAAAGATGAAACCAATCGCTTCCGCAAGGCAAAGAAGCCACAACTTCTCTCACGCACATGCGTGCCACCGCACGGCAAACATGCACTCACATCCCAGACAGGTACCACCCCCCCCCTAAGACTCACCTTCTCGGCACAGGCGGCCCTCAATCGCTCCAACTCCGCCTTGAAGCCGGCCACCTCCTCCCTTCGTATCCCTGCTTCCCTGTCTGCCGACGCCGCCTTCTCCACCAACTCCCGCACCGCGGCTTTGGCGGCTCCAGCGGCGGCCTGAGCCTCCGCGGCCTCCTCCGACACTTTCGCGAGCCTTTGCTCGGCCTGCTTTGTTGTATCGTGTGCGGCGTGCCGTAAGAGTGTTTACTGTACGCCATACGCTTGTTGGGTAATTTGGACTAATTAGCCTGTCCCATGTCGTCGTAAGAACGTTTCCTTTGTGCCACGCTTGTTGTTGGGGTATCGCCCCGGTTGTTGCTGTTGTCTTCACATTAAAAACCGTTCCGATCTCTCTCTACCCAGTACCTTCGTATGTCCGTACTGATCCAACACTCGACGCGGTCGATTCCGGTGGTCACAGGTTAACTTACCCTAAAAAGGTACACTCAAATAAACTCGGTGGTCTAGTTGGTATCCTCGAAACCTTCTAGAGGTCAGGTCAGGGGTTCGAATCCCGGCGTAAGCGAGCTTTTCTTGCAAAGTGAGTTTTTCTCTCGCTTCCGTTCCTGGCCTGGTGGATAGCGCTAGTTCGTGTGTACACAGAGGGAAGAGAGTGCTGAACTCTTCTCGCATTCAAAAATCGAAGGCAAAGTACCGCAGGAGGGGACGGTAGAGAGGGGTTCTTCTGTGTGACCACGAGTTGGACTGAACGGCATTAGTGCTGCGAGCGCTGATTTGAAATGAAGACAAAAAAAAGAAGAAACAAAAATGTTTGGACTAAATCTGTCCCATGAGACAAATGTTTGACAAATGTGGATTAGTAGTATCAAAACAAACAGAGAGAGTCGGGCTAAATTTGGGACGAGGCTAGAATGGAGGGGAGGCAGGAGGGAGAGGGGCCAGAGGGAGACAGGGAGAGAGAGGGAGGGAGGGAGACAGAACACAGAGAGACGAAAACGAAAATTACTGGACAAAAGCGTCCTCGCTTACCCTTCGAAGCGACGCCTCCCCGTCCTTGGCGGCGGCCTTGGTCAAGCGATGTCGCCTCTCCTCTTCCCTCGCCTGGAACAGAAAAGAATGTAAAGTAATTAATGAGCAACGCACCGGCATTGGCTGAGACATTCAGTCTAGAAGGACGAGGGGAGAAACAACCTAGGACTGGCGCAGGCAAGAGGTGGGGGGAAGCAAGACAAAAATATGTACCCACTCCCGGCGGAACAAAAGTATGTGCACCAGCCCACATTGCTTGATCCAGACACAAAACAGCCCCGTCTGAGGGCCCCTTCATCCGCCAGTTCCATTTCTAACACCAGAACAGTGCACATTTCGCGAAGCAAAAACAGAGAGGCAGATAACCCTTCAGACGCAGCAGTAACAAAAAAACATTTTTTTTATCGTAAGGCAACGTCATCGTCACCTCTCTCTTGGAGAAACCATGAACAACACAACCCAAAAAAAAAGAAAAAAATGTTCCACTACTCGTACAAAAGGTAAGCATCCGCCGCCGCACGACCAGGTGGTGTGCTTGGAAGCATGCTTGCTGCACGGTACTGAGACAAAATATGTGTAGTATTGGTCACATCCACGGGGCACCTGTTCCTGGAGAAGCTTGGTCTTGGATTCCGATTCCACCAACAGGCGCTCCCCTTCTACGGCCTGGCAGCGGGAGTCCTCCTCGAGGCCCTTATAGCCTCTGGCTAGCAGTATCAGCTGTGTGTGGCGAAAAGCACAAGTGCGGGGGGGGAGACGGAGGTGTCGTAAGAAGTGTGTGTCATTGTGCGTGCGGGAAGGTGGTGTGTAACCACATGCATCCGGGAAGGTGTTGCACGATCATAGCGAGGAGGAAAATTGGGACATCTTTGTCGCCATTTTCTCCCACCAACAGACCTCGTACAGAATCGAAAACCCAGCGCTTTTACCATCGAGTTACTCCTCCACCAACACCGCCAAGCAACAACACCACCAACACCAACACCAACACCAATACCAACGACAAATACCGCCGAGCTGACACCCGCGCACCTTCCCGTACACCTCTTCCACCCTCCCGTTGGATAGCTCCAGCCCCTCCTCCGCCTCCCTCGCGGCCGCCCACCCCCTGGCGGCATTGGCCCTCTCGTCCTCCCACCCCTTCGAGGACACCAGCCCCTCCTCGCGGACCTTGGACAGCTCTTCCTTCAAAGCTTCGAGGAAAGCTTCCGCCTCGGCCTTGCCGCGAGATAGCTGAGGGTGGAATAGGGACCGTGGAACTCGGATTAAATCGCGGTAAACACACGTGCGTGCGTGCGTGCGTGCTTTGCCGCGAGATAGCTGGGGATGGGATAGGGGTAGAACTCGGATTAAATCACGGCAGACATGTGCGTAGGGGACAGCAGGGAATGCTCTTGTTTGCGTGGTCTTGAGAACGGCGACGTATGAGGAAGGAAGGGGTAGTGGAAGGCGACTCTAGATGTTAAGATCAGTCAGCTGATGAGGGCGGAGAGATGCTTCGTGGCAAAGAACGAAGCTCGCGAGCAAGACCCACCCGCGGCAAGCACCAGACACGACAACAACATCAAACACTACAGCGGCAGCAACAGTTACCACCAAATCAGCAAGCAGCAACTACAGCAAGAAGCAACAACAGCATTAACAAAATCGGCAAGCAGCAGCAACAACCACCAGCAACAACAACTACCACTTCCACCACCAATCGCAACAACGAGGACATCTACCACAACAACAACAACAACTCGCCTCGTCCCGCTCGGCAGAAGCAGCCTCGAGCTTGACCGTAACCGCTGCTCTAAGGCGTTGCTCCCCCGCCAGATCTCCTCTCAAGGCCGCGATCTCCAGGTCCTTGGCGCGGGCTTCTCTACCCGCACATCCCAATGCCTCCTCTTTCGAAGACAACACCTGAGTCGGTGCCCAGCCAGTTCAACGCAACGGTTGTTGCCATCGACGTGTGCTCATGCCGGGAAATCGCGGGAGGGGCAAAAAAGACGGGAGTCCCCGAACAAAAAAACAGCACACATGCCTGAAACTGCACACATGTGTGATCTGTTCGACACCCTACAAACAAACACCCGAGCTTCTTGTTCCTTCTGCGCCCTCCAAGCACACAAAGTATACAGTCCGACACAGGGTATACCCTCAAGCTTCTGAAACTCACCCTCTCGAGGTCGGCCACGTTCTCCTCGGCGCGTCTCAGAGACACCTCTCCTCGCCTCACGGCCCTGGCGTGAGAATCCTCCAGTCTCCGACGGGCGCCGTTCTCTTGCTCCGATAATCTCCGGATGTCCTCTGCGTTTCTCGATTCGATCTGTTTCGTTTGTGTGGGAGACACACACACACAGAGCGAGATATATATATATATAGAGAGAGAGAGATAGATAGATAGATAGGTAGAGAGAGAGAGAGAGAGAGAGAGAGAGAGAGAGAGAGAGAGAGAGAAAGAGGTAAGCGGGGGCATGGGAGGGGGTGGAGGGAGGGGGGAGAGCTATTCGTTGTAGTTGCATTCGTGTTGTGTACTATCGTTTGCCTGACAGCGTGGTAGAACTACCTACTACGCATCGTTGTTACTCCCCAAAAGCAATGTACACATTCGCATTCCTCATGATATCCTCTTTCAACGAATCACTCCTTCCGCACAAGAAATTCCTCCCTTCCGTCTTCCGCACTGTAATCCGTCAAATCTTATCGTGCAACGAAGCTATTTTTCGATTGAAGAAGGGTTGTGGTTTTGTCACTGCTGAGCACACCAAACCGCCCGGCAACAAGCATCACACATGAGATGCGCATAACATGACCGAACTACCTTGCCTTATCAAATTCACTCTCTTTGAGCTGACACTAACGGGGATTCTTTTGATCGGGCGCAATCGCTAGAGGCGTTTGGCTCTGAACATCACAACGACTTCTTGCTCATTTTTAGGTTCTCCGCCCATTGGTCGTTCCTTGAGCTTGGATGCCCATCTTGTCACTGTCCATGTCCTCCAGGACCCTCGCCATGTTCTTCTCGGTGTTTCGTCCCTAACCTCATGGTATGACGGACCTTGGAAAGGGTCCTCTGGGAGTGTGTGTCTGTGTTTTCGTGCCACCTAGTCTACACCTCTCGGTACGTTCGACGCACCAGCCAGGGTCACACAGGAGGACATGAAAAACACAGGGAAAAAAAATCCCTCTCCACCGTGCCCCGTGCCGTGCGTGCCTTCAACTGTGTGAGATGGGTCCATCGCTTCCCTCACACACCATGTCAGGGAAATGCACACCTCATGTGCCATACTTGTGCCGCCGTTACAGCAGTACAGGTTTCCAGTACTCCAGCGAAAATGCACTCAAGCAAAAACGTACTCAAGCAAGCATCTACGCAAGCAACAAAGTACCCAAAGCAAAAATGAAACTCAAGCGAAATAAAACTCGTGGACGCGGCGCCCTCTCACCTGAGCCACGAGCCCCTCGGCCTCATCGAGAGCCGCCGCCCGCCGCGCGCCCGCCGCGCGCTCCCGGCACGCCGCGGCTTCAGCCGCCGCCGCCCGCGAACGCAATTCCCCCTCTCGCGCCTCCGCCGCCTGGGCGAAGGCATAGAGTGAATCGGCCACGAGCAGAGCGTCTGCGCCGCCGCCGGCCTGTTTTGTGGGCGGGCGAGGAAGAGCGTGTGTTGCGCGAGGGGGGGGCGTACCGGTGTGCGCGAAGATTAAGGGAGGGGGTGGTTTTTGACGATGACGGCGGGGGCTTGAGAGGCGGTGAAAGGACGTTCAAAGGCTCGGTATCTGTAGTAAACGCATTCTTCGAGTTGTTTGGTGGCAGGATAAATGGAGATCACCAAAGGCGACGTTGATACGGACATGGTACAATTGGATTTGTCAATGCTTTTAGTCCCTGCCGCCATTAGTATCCTTTCAAAAAATTCTGGTCACAACCAGTGCCATATTTTCCAGCAGATATGCGTGCGGTGGCCGGTGATATTCCAAAGAGAGGGTCAAATCGCCAATCCCTTCGTTTGTCTTCCTGCCGTATCGTAGGCCGGGCGTGCAAGTATGGACATGCTGAAGTAGGCATGGTTAAGTGAGGTCTCGGGGACTACACCACCCACCCTCGCCTCAAGAGTGTTTGTCTGCTGCGAACGTGTCGAAGTGTTCTGTTCTCTGCTTGATTCTCCCATCCTCCTTGCTTTCTGTTATCGCAAGGGGGTATCCATACGCTGCCGCACTGCTGCACCACGGCTCGATTGGCCATGATAATTTTGTTCGTCGTCCTTACCCTCTTGCCACACACAGACACTAGTCAGCGCGACAAGGCGTCAACTCTTGCAACACTGACTCTCCCTCTTGCTCGGAAAGTGCGCACCTACAACATCACCTTGACAAAGGCGGCCTTTCGAAGACCCCCCCCCCCCACCAACTCCGTCCTCTCGAGGACGTGTGGTCAATAGTTTAACCGCTAAGGCATGAAAAACATGAGAGTACGCCCTCCCCCCACCTCCCTCCATGCTATATCTTCTCGAGGACGCGAGGGCAACGGTCTAAACGCTAAGGCAGGCAAAGTTGAGTCCCCCCCCCCTTACCTGTAGCAAGGAGATGAGAGCCGCCGCTCGCCTCGCGAGGTCCTTGCTCTCCGCCCGACACGCCGCGTGCCCGAGGCACAGCTTCACCTCGCCCGCGGCCGCCTGCTCGCCCAAGAACCTCCTCAGCCTCGCCGCCCTTGCCGCGTCCTGGCGTCCTTGCCGCTGCTGCCGCCGCCGCCACCGCCGCCTAGCCCTCCTCCTATGCCCTTCCTCTTCCTCGGCTTCGCTCGCCGTGATGTCGTCACCGCTACTGCCACCGTCAACGGGAGCACAAAAAAAATCGATGCACGTTCGGTAAAAGCTGGGGCGTGTTTCGTGGAGACGGGCGTGGTCGTGATCACTGCTGTTCATGGTCCGTGCACCGAACGAAGCGTGAACTCGCTCGTACGTATTCTACCACCGCATTCGTGCTCTTTGTAGTGGGTGGGATGCCCAAGATAATTGGCAGTTTTGATCACTCTGTTCACAGACGTGCGCCGTGCACTCGCTCGAAAGTATTCTAGTAGCACGAATCGCATTCGTTTCTCGTTGTAGCGGGATGTGCAAGGGTTGTACACGGGTCGCTAGGGCCCCACATTGATTTTAGTGGCGAACGCCTTGTGTATCCACTCGAGCTCCAACCCCTTACCCACTGCATACCCATCAACATTGTCATCGTGCGTCAGCAGCAGCAGCAGCAGCAGCAGCAGCAGCAGCAGCAGCAGCACAACACAGCCCAGTGAACATATGGTCTCTTCAGCACAGGCTCAAAAACAGCTCGAACGGAGAACAGCCTCCCTCCATTCTACACGTCCAAAACAGCAGTACCCACCCTCTCATGAGAGCAAAACAAGAGCTGCCAGCCTACAACATACCCCCTTGTTATAGATTCACCTTTGAGCGTCCCCACTTCCACCGCCGGTGCCGCTCAGCTCCACTCCGAGCTGCGCTATCAGGGTCAGCGACACGAGCACGATCTCGACGGGTGCCCGGGAGAAGTCCGCCGGATCGGTCCCACAGAGCACGCACCGTTGCGCCGCGAGGACGGGGCCGAAGGCGGCCTCGAGGGGAAGCGCGCGGGCCAGAGCGCGCCCGGCCGCCGGCACCGCGAGCGCCTTGGAGAAGAGACGCGGACGACATGGTAACGGCAAGACGTGGAGATGGGTTAAGCAAGTGAGGCTGCCGGGAAGACACAAAGAAGCACCAACAACATGACGAGAAGACACACGAAGAGGGGTAAGCGAGGACGGCTGATGGCAAAAGACACGAAGGGAACATGACGGCCACTACCGTAGGGTGTACCGTGTGTGGAGCGCGGTCGTCCGGCAAAAGGAAACAAGGAACAGTAGCAGTGTCAACGCCGTAGGAGGCGTGTGTGTGTGTGTGTGTGTGTGTGTGTGTGTGTGCGGAGCACGGCCGGAAAGCGCAAGAATACGGCAGCGGCGGCGACGCCACTTCATGATGACAACGGTACGCAGCTGGCCACTCAAGAGCGATCACCCCCCTATGTCATCTCCACGGCCAGGGTAGGCCGAGAAGCCATGGTGATGGTGTTTCCGGGAGGGAGAGAAGGGGGCGGCTACTCCTCCGCGATAGCTCCTGCTCGCACGATGTTGCTACCCCCCTCTCGATAGACTAGAAGCCACAGCATCGTGCGCCTCTCGGCCATCCCTGAGGGGATGCGACTCGCAATCTCGCGTGGACCAGTCCCACGCAACAACAAAAACGGCCGGCCAACCAACAAAGAAGCAACTCACCAACGACGACAGCAGGCACAAGACCGACGTTAGCTCCAGCTCCATCTCCACCGCGCGGGCCTTCAGCGCCCCGGCTCCCGTCGCGGCGGACACAGGCCACGCCGGTCTCGCCGCTACCAGCGACGGCGACGAAAGCCCCAGCTTCTGCTTCGCCTGCGCCGACGCCAGGTCGCCGCCAATCTGCCGAAGCCGCAGCACGAGGAGGCTCAAGCCCCCCCCCGGCCCTTCGAAAAAAGAAGCGGCATCGGCGAGGCCGGCGGGGTGCTCCAAGCCGGACCCGCAGCCAAACGAACGCTCGTCCCCGTCGCCGTCGTCAATACCGGCATACTCGGAACCATCGGACTCATCACTACTACGACTGCCGTCGGCGCGCCTCACACCGGCACCGCCACCCCTCCCGGCGGCGGGCGTCCGCTTGCTATGCCTGCCGCCCCCGAGCGCCACCGCGCCTATCCGCTCCAGCAGAGCCGCTTGCAGAGGGTCCTCCCTGCCAATCCCCGCCGAGGCCGCCGCCGCCGCCCACGACACCCCGACGCCGGTCGGGCCGAGAAGGAAGCCCGCGGGGATGACTCCCACCCCCGCCGCCGCCCCGGTGGACGGCCCGCTGACGGCCCCGAGCGCGCCGCCCCCTACCAGCAGGCACTGCAGCAGCGTGGAAGCTGCCGCTGCAGACGGCGGGTGGGGGTGGAGGCACAGGACGAACAGCGCGGCGCACGGGTCTGCCGCGAGAGTAGAGGACGTCCTGGCCGCTGCCGCTGTGGCCTGCTTGCTGCTGTTGCTGCTGCTGCTGCTATCTAGAAGCGCCTGGATGAAGGTCGACCGCGCCGGGCTGTGCTCCAGGCAGAAGGAGCAGAGTGCGCGGAGGAGAGGCTCGGGGCGCGTCGTCTCTTCCTGGTGTCGCGACGCTCTTCGTTCCGTGGCAACGGCAGCGGCGGCGGTAGTGCCGGCGGCGGCGATGTCGGTGGACAACCGGCCGAAAACGTCTGCGGCTGCTCGTGCTAGCACCGCCACCGCTTCGCCAAGGAACGAAGCGAGGCGCCCCGTGTCTACGAGAACGGACGTGAACACCTGGCTTCGGGCGAGGTCTGACGCCACGTCGGCGAACCGCCGCTGCTCGCCGAGCCTACCGCTGCCGCCGGCGCCGGCGCCGCCGTGCCTGGGTGTCAGGTTGTCGACGCAGACGACGCGCTCAGAACAAACGGAGAGGTCCAAGAGGTTGTCGATGACGAGGGAAGCTGTCTCGAGGGCGTTGCCGCGATCGAAGACCTTGTTATCGATGGGATGGGGAGTGTTGCACGCGAGGGGGGTCCATCCTTTAGGCCGTGAGAAGCTCGCAATCACGTACAGCAACGGAGAAATATGAGATGAATTTGCCAAAACTGGGCTGGGTTCCCGCGCATCAGCAAACACATTCCGAACGACGGTTGGGCTCACTCGACGTCATGAAACGTCCAGCAGGTACACGATAGATAAGTGAAAACATCGGCGAGCGTGGAGCCATGGCGGCAACCAAAACGCTTCGTCTGTTTTCGCACACCGATACAATAAAAACCCCACGAGAATCACAACGCATGCGCTCTCTTCACTTTTGTCCCAACACGTTCATCACCGGAGCCACAACAACGTGGCACCTAACCCCGACTCTCATCTCAACAAAGAGCAAGCACCCCGTAAACGCAGCTCACCTTTCCCTCGAGAGGATCGCCCGCCAACACCCTGGTGAGGGCGCACAGCGCCCGAACCACAATCTTGCCGTCACACATCGGACCCAGCAGCCCGAGAAGGCGGCGGAATAGCTCCCGCTTCCGCCGGAGCCCCTTCACGTACTGCCGGAAGTGCGGGCTGCCTCGGGCGCACGCCGCAAAAAGATCCAGTACCACCATGAGGTCGGTCTGCGCCCCCCCCCGACCCTTGCTCCTGTTGCTACTGCCTCTGCTGGTGTGGCTGCTACCACCGCTGCCGCCACCGCCGCTGCCGCCACCGTCGCCGCCGCCCTCGCCGAGAAGGTACTCCGCGAGGTACGGCGCAAGCGAGGCGTAGGAGGAGGCGGAGAAGGAGAGAGGGCAGTGGCGCACCATGCTGCAGCAGAGCCGGACGGCAGCGAGGTCTACCGCGGGCGCCGGTGAAGGCCTCGCCTCGGACATTGCCGCGCCACCGGCGGTGCTCTTGTCGGCGACGACGACCCTCCGCCAGAGGTACTCTTGTAGGGTAGTACCAGCGGTGGTGCTTGCCTCTCCTCCGCTACCGCCGCCGGTCCCCCCTCTCGACTGCTGCTGCTCCAGTTGGACCTCGTGCAGCACCCTAAAGAAGACGTGGCGCCACGAAGGCCTCTCCGCAAGGTTGGCCAAGCAGAGGAGGGTGAGATCGACCAGGCTCGCCAGCGGCGGTGCGTCTGCCGACTCTTGTTTCGGCGACAGCAGCGTCCGTGTTGCTTCGCTACTAGCCGGGTCCACGAGGAGAAGAAGCCGCGAGACCAAACGCACCAGCGCGTCAAGGGCAGCGTAGACCAGGCCAGGAGGGGCAGCGACCGCAAACGCCGCCGACATGCCGCCTGTTCCCCCCGGTGAAGGCCCGTCGTCGGATACATGGAGAGCAGAGAGCTCCCGCAGCTTGCGCCTTAGCGGACCCGCGGTCCAGGCTGTAAGTTGTGCTGCTTCTGGCTGTCCCTGCTGGCGAGCGTAGCCATTGCCGCTATTTCCTGGCGTTCCTTCATGTTTGCTGCGGTGGGATAAGAAGGCTTGTAGGCTCGGTTCAGCGTCCGCGACCTCGTTCAGGAAGGATCGCAGCAAGTCTTCTTCTTCATCGGGAGACATCTGCTGCTGCTAGTAAGAGATTAGCATCACACCGTCGGGACACACCAGTGAGCACTTCTACTCTGGTTTATCAATCAATCTTGCTCCCACGGGGTCTACAACACCTTGTTCATTTCTTGGGTTGGATATGCGCTGTGCACAACGCGGCGCAACTGCTTGACGATGAGACGCTAAGAGAGAAAACAACAACGGCCTTTAGATTAGACTGCTGTGTCTGGCAACGGGCCGCTTTTCAAACACCATCGCTTTGCACTGCTGAGGTGGCCAAGGTCTTCCACCTGACTCAATAGGACACCTCTAGTACGAAGCCCTCTCACCTCGGACCCGTGAAGACAGAGAGGTGCTCTGCTGCATGCTGCGGGGTCGAGCTGTTTCCTGCTACTTTTTTTTTTTACTCTTCAACACCCCCACCCCCCATTTTTCGTATTATTGTTGGGTACCCCCCCCACCTTTGCGGCGAAAAATTATGCAACGGCCGGAAAGTAGGTTTGCTCTCGAGAGAGCTTCGCACTTCGCACACGCAAACAGATCGAAAGGCACAGAATTTTGTTCGTCACAGCAACGAGAAGCCGAAGAGCAGTACTACTGAGCGAGGGAGAGCGGAGCAGCGGCGCGCACCGGCTCGTTAAATTCCGCCTTCCAACGCAACACACATTTTGGTGTGTACCCGCTCCCGTCCATCTGCAGAGAGAGAGACGAGAATAGTGACACCTGTGAAACGCCGCGTTCCAGGGCCGTCTCTGCTGCCGTGCCGCAGACATGCCGGCCGAAGCAGAGCACACTTCTGGTGATGCTCGGAAACGGGCCGTGGCGGTGGCGGAATTTGCAGAGTTCGTGCACGCGCTGGAAGAGTTCCACAGCAAGGCCGACCACGACGTGCTGGACGCGCTCCGAGTCGCCAATAACGGGAGGGTCGGCCGGGTGTTTTCAGAGGCAGATGCTCATGTCTTGGAGATAGGAGGGGCGTCCGGCGCAGGAGCTCCCGCTATCCCCGTCGCTGACTCCCCGCCACCGTCTCCGCTGGTCGGGGCCGCCGCCTCTCCTGCCCCCCCCAAGGCAGAAGAGGCGCGGCTCCCTCCCCGCTCCTCGCGCCGCGGCAAGCTGCGGGTACGCGATTCCAACGTCTCAACCGCATCGCAACAAGAGACTGCCGCCGCCGCCGCCGCCGATCGTGGTAAGAGACAAAGGACAGCAGTAGGGAGGAAGGAAAGCGGTGGTCCTGCTGCTGTCCCACCATCAGCGCAAGACGAGGCAGGAGCAGACAAGGAGAATCGGCCCGCCGCCGCTGTTGCCAAGGGGAGGGGTCGCCCTCCCCTCCCCAAACGCAAGAAGCTTGGCGGTGGTAACGCTAACCCTGCCGATGCGGACGGGTCTGTGCCGAAGGCTGAGCCCGTGAGGAGATCCGGGCGTAACTCCGGCCTTCCGCCCGAGCCGACCGAAGGCAGTCGCGCGCGTGGCGGCAGCATCGTCCGGGCGCCCAACAGCAGCGGCGACGGCGGCGGCTGCACCCAGGACAACAGCGAAACAGGGGACAACGGCGATACCAGCAGCAGCCGTGATGTGGCCGCCGCGGAGATCGCCGAGCTCCGCGCCATCAAGGTTTCGTCAATGAAGGTCGTAGACCTCAGGGCGGCGTTGCGAAAGCTGGGAGCGTCCGCTGGGGGGCTCAAGGCGGTGCTCCAGGTCAGGCTCGAAGAGACCATCGCCGCGCGCATCTCCGAACTCGAGACCTCCCTGCCGACTATCGAAGGCGACCAGGAGGAGGGAGAACAAGAAGAGCAACGGGATGCCCCCGCAGCGGGCGCTGCAGCAAGCTCCGAGGACGCAAGTGCTGACTCGCGGTTGCCATCCACCAGGTCGTCGGTGGCACCGGGGGTTGCTCTAGGGCCGCTCACCCGCCTCTCGATGCCGCGGTTATCGGCAGAGTCGGCCGCAGTCCCCTCCCCTGTGCGCGCCTCGCCGTTCTTTGGGGACGACTCGGAGCAGCAGCAGCAGCAGAAGCAGCAACAGGAGGAGGACGCGTCCACCGCCGTAGCGGTGGCCGCGGTTGGTGTTGAGGGTGCTCCGGAAGGCGCCTCCGGTGCTCCTGAGAGTGGCGGCGGAGGGGATGGTGATGATGGCGTCGAAGATCTGATGGATATCGACTCGGAAAAGCTTGAGAGCGATGATGACAACGGGGATGACATCGAGGAGATGGAAACGGACACGTCGAAGACAGACCAGCTTGGAGTTCCGGTAGAGGAGGTGGCGGCAGCAGGGTCAGCACGGGAGGAAGAAGTTCCCGAGACTGGTGCGTCGGGTGATATGGAGGAAAGCGAGGGGGAGGGTGGTGCCGACCTGCCGTTGTCACCGGTGCCGGATGCTGCGTCAGGAGTACCAGCTGCTGCTGCTGCCGCCGACAGCGATGCGGTTCCTGTCGCCGAAGAGGTGACGGAGATTGTTCAGGAGGTCGCCCCGGTCGACGTGTCCGGCAACATGGTGGGGGAAGAAGACGAGGAAGAGGCGGAAGAGGGAGAGGTGGTGCTGACAGAAGAGGACAGGAAAGGCCTCGCTGATAAGGAGAGCTGGTCGCTAAGCGGGACTGCTGTGGAAGGCGGGGCAAAGGTAGAGGGCGAGGCGGCGGGGGCCGGGGATGTCTCGGCGAAGGGTATGGCAACGGAGGAGGAGAGGCCGAACGGAGAGGCGGCCATCGAGGATGAGATGGAAGTTGAAGAGCCCAGGTGCGTGATACTACCGCCAAATACGTGTGTTATGGTTGCTGTGACAAGCTGAAGGATGCGAGTAGTGTATGCAGGCTTCCCGGTGCGTACAGCTTGGTGTTCTACTCTCGCACTGCTGTTGTTGGCTGCAGCATCGCCGCACAGGGCTTGATGCATTTAGGGCGCCGTAGAGCCAGTTGCCATGTGCCTGTGTTTCATTTGCGCGTTGGCTTGCATGATGTACCGTGAAATAGACTTCCGGTGTACAGGGGTACCCCACACTCTGGTCGTGTGTTGACGTCGTTATTGCCAGACCGTTTCGGTCGTTGCTTACCTTTGTTGTGAGGTACTACCTCTGTGTGTGTGAACGCAAATTTATCTTGCACGCGAGTCATCGCTTCGGATGCGTGCGGCGTGATTGCGTCTCGCTTCACTCATCCACCCGTCGATTGACGTGTGGGTGAAATGCGCTTGCCATATTAATGTGTGCATTGACCGCGGCATAAGGGAACACTCCTTGGACTTCGGCGTGTGCCCACTCTGTAGTCAAATATGTTCGCGGTATCGTAGCCTTTGTACATCACCGGCAAGATGCCTTCGTATCGTTCTCGAGCAGGGTGAGCATGCCAAACACGGCTTCAGGTGTGGTTATATTTGGTCAGTTGTATTTCGGTCGGGTTGCTGGACAAGGTGCTGTATAAACTTCCGGGGTAACGACCGATTGTCGTGCGGTGTTTTTTTTCATCCTCCTTGCCTCTCTTTCGCCCGTTGATTTGACCACAGGAGCGAAGAAGAAACTCCGAAAGACATCTTCGTGCCCCCCTCCCTGGAGGACAAACCGGTCGGGCATGGCAGTGTTAGCAGCAGCAGCGGCACCCAGAGCTTCCCTTGCAAGACTCCCGGCAGTGCGGCAGTCTCCAGGTCGTCGACCTCTCTCCTCAGCTCCGGCGGAAGCTCGATTGCGAACGTTCCCAGGAACGACTCGGGAGTTGGGCCGCCAGGGGGTAGCGGTGGCGACGTCGTCGGCGGGAAGCGCGCTCGTCCTATCGCGGCCCAAGAAACACCGGGCAGCGCGGCCGGCTCTGCTGTCCCCTCGAGCGTCGGGCGGAGCGGCGGAGGCGGCGGCGGGGGTGGCGGCGGCAAGAGGCCCAAGACCGGCAAGGAGAAGGTCAGCCTACAGGAGATCATGTCCCAGATGAGAAAGACGTACGCGAAGAAGGGCGGCACTCCCGGCGCGGCGTCCAAGGCGGGTAACGCAGGAGCCCGCAAGGCGGCCGCTGATTTCATGGCGACTCGGAAGCCAGAGGTAGTAGCAGCGGCAGCACCGGCGGCGCCGGCAGCTGTCCCCTCTACCCCGGCCTCGAAACCGGACGCGCGGAGTGAGGAGGCGGTGGCAGCGGCGGCGGAAGCGCCTCCCGCCCCCGCCGCCGCCGGGCCCACGTCGGCCGAGCCCGCTGCGCCTTCGGCGGCGGCGGCGGCGGTCGGCAAACCCTCGAACTTGATCACCACCCTCCACTCTTTCACGTCCGTGCTGTCCAAGAAGAACCCAGCCGCCGCCGGCGCCGCGCCCCTCGGCAAGTGGGACCGGCTCGCGGCCGGCGCCGGCGCTAGCTCGAACGCCCGCACGGTACCGGCGCTGCGGAAGGCGGAGGAGGCGAGGCTCCTCGAGGAGAGGCGCGCGCGGGAGCGGGCGGCGTCGCGGGTGAGAACGCAGGCGGGGGGTGGGGCAATGGTGGCTGCTGCTGCCGGAAAGCAGCAGCTGCAGCAGCCGCACGCTGCGCCTGCTTCAGCGGCGCGCAGTCAGGGCGAGCGCGTGACGCCTGGCGGGGCAACGGGGAGGGTGGGGGCCGCGAAGGCCTTCACCACGCAGGCAGCGGCGGCGGGATCGAAATTGGCGGGGATTCCAGACGGAAAGGCAGTACCCTCGGCAGGCACCGGTGGTGCTCCTTCCCAGCCGCATCTCGCCCCCCTGCGTGTCACCGGCATGCTGTCCAAGCTTGTGCCGGGGGGCGTGGCCGGACCAGCGGGGGTGGGGACGGAGGCGACAGCGTTGCCCCCGTCAAGCAGGAAGGTGTCCGACTTGTCTTCGTCCGACCTGCCGGAGCCGTTCCGCCGTTCAGAAGACCTGTTCGTCGGAGGGGCGGCTGCTGCTGCGGCGGCAGCGGCGGCGGCGGATTGCGACAACGCTAGCGTTAGGTCCGCCGGCAGTACATCTTCGTCTTGCTTTTCCATGGGGGTTAGCTCCACGGCGGGTGGCCGGCCCAGCAGTACCGTGTCCTCTTCGGAGCGGGTCGAGAAGAAGATCAGGGACCAGCGCGCCAAGATCGCGCTCAAGCGTCAGGCTCGTATGGAGAAGATTAAGGCGGAGGAGGCGAGAAAGAAGGTGCGCGAAGTATTATTGACGTGTGGTGCTTATACGTCGTCCATCTGACTGACCGCTGTTCGTGTCTTTCCTGCATTTACGGTACCACGTGGTAGGTCACCCTTAGGCGTGGGAGTTCCAGCTGGGCGTGCCAGTCCTCTTTGTTGTTCAGGCTGTCGGCAAAGTTGTCTTCGTGTGGGTTGTGGGTTCTCCACTCGTATGAGCTTTGACGGACGTGTCATACCACTCACGCATATGTCTCGGTCAGTTCAATACGTCGTTCTCGAAGGTGGGGATTCGATTTGAGGTGCCCTCTGCCACCCCCCCCCCCCCCCCCGTACACACAGGCCGAGCTCGAGACCAAGGAGCTGAGAGACGCGGCCCGCCTGGAAGCCACCCGCCGCGCCAAGCAGGAGACGGAGGCAAGGTTACGCGAGCAGAAGGCGCAGCGCCAGGCGGAGGTGGAGCAGCGTCGCGAGCAGGAGAGGGCCGACAAGGAGGCGAGGGATGCCAGGGAGCGGCAGGAAGAAGGAGGCCAGGAGGCTTGCGGCCGTTGCCGAGGCTAAGGCTAAGGCGGCGCAAGAGGTGCGTTGGCTTACAGTAACGTGTTGGTTGGTTGGCGGGTGAAGCGGGGGGGGGGTGCTAGGGTTCGTTCGAAGTCGGACTGCTTGTGTGTGTGTGTTTTAACTTTTCGTACGTGATGGTGCGAACATTCTGAGGTTAGACACGGGTGGGGACGAGGTTGGTTGCTGCCCGAGCTGTGCCTGCGCGAGAGATGTGCTTGCGTGCGTCTTTGCAATTCGTGGAGTAATATGCCACGCGTGACACGTTGAAATCCACAGGGGCAAGGTGAAGAGCTGAGCAATGGGGTAGGAGGTTGCTGGGGTGTTTCTTTGCTAGGTCTCATGTAGCACGGGTGGGAGGGGTAACCACCCGGTTCTACGCCCGTGCAAGAGGTGTGTCTCGGTGCAGCTGGGGTCAGGTTTGAAACGCGTTGGCACCCCTGTCGCATCACGATGTCAGGATTATTGTCTTAGCAGCTGACACAGCAAAAAACAGCCCTCTTGCAGTGAATTCAACCCCCACTCGGCGTGGCGGTTGCGAGGCGCACCCCGTTCGGTACAGCATCCCTCCCCCAATTCACTCTCTACTCGAATACCCGCTTGCCTCTCCTGCCGCGACGTACGAACCAGGGAGCCGCTATCAAGGCACAACAGGCAAGGAAACCCCAGCCCGCAGCCGTCACCGCCGTCGCCGCACCGGCCGCCGCCGCGACAATCGCTGGAGCCACCGCTCCGGAAGGGAAGCCGGTGGCAGTTCTCAAGCGGGTTTCGCCAGCTGCTGCTCCCGCTTCTTCGACCGACCCGGCCTCGACAGCCGGCCTGCCGGCGGCAGCGGCGATGGCGGCGGCGGCGGCGGCTGCACCGGCGTCTTCGTCGGCCTTGAAGCCGGCGGTCACGACGGCGGTTGCGGCTTCTGCGTCAAGCAGTAGTCGTGCTGCTGCTGCCGGCCCGGAGCATTCGGGAGCCGCCTCAGTCAAGGGGAAGGCGGCCGCGGGGGGTACGGCGGTGGGGGCTGCGGCGGCTGGAACAGGAGTGGTGGAGAGCTACGAAATGTCGGACCATGACGGCGACACCTCGGAAAGCGAGAGCGACGAGGAGGAAATGAGAGAGCGCAGCAGACGATCGGGAAAGAAGGTGTGTGTGCGTGTGTCTTTAGTATTAAGCATCGACCGCGCTCACCGGCTTACCAATGAAAGAACGCAGCGTGACTAATAACGCGAACACGCTTTCTAATCAAAAGGGTTCTGCCGACTGTGTGTGTGTGCGTGTTGTTTGTGTGTGTAGTTTTTCGTCGCCCCGTCTTCCCTGTCTCCAGTTGCTGCAGCGTTGGCCATGCCACACTCAAGTTTTTCTCCCTCTCGAGGTCGTCTGCACGCATACCGTGCAGTTGAGCCTCCGAATAATGAGTGTTTATTCCGATATCATCGCACTTGGAGTTGGTGGATCCCTGGCTTGAGCGGTAGCTAAAGCTTTCGCTGGCTCAACGCCCGTGCCCTTTCCGTCAACAGCGCCAGCGAGTGGCGTGGGGCATGCATGCGTTCACGCTCACAACCCGCCTATCCTCAGACCTGCGGCACGTCCTTTGTTCGTCGCGGTATGCATGGAACTGATTTCGCAAACGCGCGCTTCTTTTTTTCGTGTCGTGAAGAGACTGCCGTACAGCCGAATGCTATTGCTTCATTTTGGTGGTGTATGTCGTTTCTCACGATGGAGCTGCACAATCGAAGCGCTTTCCACAACCTGCGCCTCCTCCTCTTACCGCCCAACCGTCGTGAAAAACACGTGTGGCGTGTAACGTAGATCCCGGCGTGGGCGAAAGGCTCGGCGCTGTCGGAAGCCCTGACGAGGCAGTACGCCACGGGTCAGAAGGTGGACCCAGACAAGATTTTCCCGGAGGTGTTCACTTGTGATCTCGAGGCCATATTCCCGGTAAGACACGATTGACAGTGTTGTCGAGATTGAGACGGGGGTCTGTGGGGGTGGCTTGTGTGTGTGTTTATGTTTTTAGCATCGACCGCGCTAACCGGCTGACCAATGACAAGACGTCAGTTTTAGTGCAGTTGAAACTATGGACCACGTGTGGGGGCAGCATGGAGGAGGCTTAACTATCCTTCGGATCAAAGACAGAAACGGTAGCAACAGAAGAAGACTGTGTGTTTCGAGCTTTCTTCCGATTTTGTGTGCTTCGAGCTTTCTTCTTTGTTGCGTGTCCCAGGCGGTGGTGCGCGTGTACATAGGAGAGGGAGGTCGGATCTAGACGTTCGTTGAAAAGAAGCGCAGACATTGTTCGACTTGGCAAGGCCAGGTTTATACTCTCTTTTTTCATCGTGTATCGCTCGCCACCAGTCTATGCTTGATATGTACGGATGAAGTTGTGATCGAGATGGATCTCGCTGGGGTGTCGGTTCACGGTGAAACGTCTAATTTTTTTCTCTGGATATTCACGGCTCTTCAACAGCAAATAGCGCATTGTCGATGGTGGTTCCCAGCGTGTCACGTTGAGATCGAATGTTTTTGCTTCTGTTCGCCGAACGTTTCTTTCTACACTCCACCTGAAATGACGCTTCTTTTTTCGATGCGCAATGACGTGAAAAACAGGTGAACAAGAGCAGGTACCATCGGCGGGGCAGCAGCGCGAACTGGACACCAGACCGCGTTACCCCGCAGGAGGTTCTCACCTACAAGCGGAGCGTGGGGATCGCGAAAGTGCAGAAACACTAGAGGTAGCGACACGCGGCAGCCGCCCCAAAGACCGCGACGCTGATTGATTGGTGGGGCCCACGAGGTTAATTTGATCGGCTGGCTAGGTTGTCGGTGACGGCTGCATTTATTCGTCCTGAGTTGCGTGAGAATTGGCCCTTATTATTCGGTGGCGTTCTTCGAAGACGGGGGGAAGAATAGGAAGGACAAGGACGGACGAAGTACGTGGAACTTGTGTGTGTGGGTGGGTTAACGGGTTTCGCTGTTGAGCACGTGTGTATGTATTATGTGCTTTCGTTTTTAGTGTGCATCTGACCAGGCTCGAGTGAGAGACCTCAAGCCGAGTCAAATTGGATCCCTGCTGATCCTGCTCGTGTCTCAAAGGGATCTTCACTTGGCCCTCCGGATTGTCAGCCGGGTCATGCTTTCACGGCGCTGATTGGACGATTCTGGAGCGCTCGCTCGTGGTTGTGGGTCGGAGATCGGAGATCGGAGATCGTCTGATTGGATTGGCGCGCGTGTTCCGTGCGGTTGTCGTTGTTCTTAACGTGTGTCCGGTGTCATGGACGAGCCCAGCACGAGCGGCAAATAAGGTGAAGCAGTATGTCGCTTTTGAAAGAGAAAATCAGTCGGCGCTCCCCTGCGTACATTAGCTAGCGCGTTTGTGCGCGATGTTGGCGTGCTCGGTCGCCAGACCGTCGACAAACGGTAATTCGGGGTCAGCTTGAGAAGCGAATAGCGCACACCCAGGTTGGTTTCCCGGCTTTTGCTTCGAACAAGCGCGCCCGGCGGGGACGAGCGACTGCGGTGGCGCGATCGACGAAGACAGCCCCCGCTTCTTTTTTTTTTCCAAGCAAAGGATGTTGTGTAGTTTAGCTAAAGGGTTTGGTGTGTTTTGGGTGTTACGCCTCGGACTGCCCGTGTCGCTGGCTGCAGTCGGGCTGGTGGTAGGGAGTGAGTGGTTTGCTTCCTAGCCGGTCTTTTTGCAGGTCAGAACGAGTTTTCCCGAGTCGGAGGAAGTCGTGCTTCGGTCGGAAAGGGTCTCTCTCCCATCTGCCGCCGCCCCCCCCCCCCCCCCCCCGCTCTTGGAAAACAAAAACCCATGGAATCCTTGTTCAGACGTAGGAAGCGCGTTCTGATTCGCGTTTCTGATTCGGGCGAATCAACGTACGCCGCTGCGGGCACTCTGTTGTTCGGATGCAACATTTTGTAAGGTTGATCAAGTCAAAACCCGTCTGGGCGTCTGGGGAAAGCAGGGCGGAAATTTGAGATGGAAAAGAGTTTTGGGCAGGAAAACACGTAACAAATCTATCTAGTAGTACGGGAGAGGCCTGGGGTATTC